GGAGGTGCAAGGGGAGTTAGATAGGGATCCCCAGATGTGATTTGGCAATGCAGTTTCAGGAGTTCAATAAAACATTTAAGTTGCTTTTTATTTAACATTTTCATTAAACGTTCATCTTAATTGCTGTAGTCCATGTTTCAAATGTTCAATAAAACATATAAGTGTTATATGACCTTACTGGGGAAAAGTAAATTCAATACCTACACTTTATAAAGCTCTGCACTTATAAGAAATACAAATAGTTAGCTAACCCCCTGAAGACAAACTTTATCATCCCTTGAGGAAGTTCTTCTGAAAAATGGGTATTTCTGTGCCTGAAGATAGGACCTCTTCATGAACATGGATTCAGTGGCAGATGAATGGCATGTCAAAACAAGCCTTTCTCATGGTACGTAATCATTGATTTATTTCCTTGCTAGTATGTAGCTGTGGGGATCTAACTAGCCCGAGCGTGTACTGCCAGGTCTGCTGAACAGACAATCCTAGGTGAAAGATTGCCTTATATAACTTTCTGCTCTCTCCTTTAGAACTTCTTAACTTTTTTATTCCACTTTTCCTTAGCCTATCTCTATTTCTTTTCTGCCAACTTTGGCTCATAGCCTGTAGTGCTAGAAAGCTCACTATCAGTCTACATCAGCTAACGACCATTTGTCTTTGCAATCTTTCCTTCTGAAGTTCAGCCCGCACTATTACGCAGCTTTTTCATGTGGGCGGTGGCAGAAGTAGGATGTATGGAGGCAGAGTTGCTATGGGGAAAGAAGTGCAAAGGGAAGAAAGGTGGAGACATGCAAATAGGTGAAAGCAACAAAGACAATGAAAGAAGGTAATAGCAAGGCAGAAGTAATGGTGACCTTGCAAAAGATGTTTCCCACTTTGGTGTTTCACAGTAAGGAGGAGAATACATCATCTCCACAACTACTCAGTTACCACACAAAGTGTTTACCCTGACCTCAGTCTGTGACCAGACTACTGATGTCGATAGGAGTTGTTATGCTTTAAAAGCAGTATGTTATCACCATAGTCTGTTTTTTCCCCATTTTCTCCTTCTGTGTTGCTGGTGCTCCTAGGTGAGCTGTTCAGACATTGACCCATGTGTAGTTAAACAAATCAACCTGTCTGCAAGGATATGTGTAAGAAAAGAAAACAAACGATGGAGTAAACAGATGACAGAACAAATGAGGCACATCTATTAGCTCTGTTTGTTCAGCAGCAGGACCGAGACTGACCCTTTAAAGATTTTCTAGGTTTAGTGCTTCCTGTTATGGATGAGGTAGCATTAGGGACTTTGAGTGTGTACTTATGTTCCTGCAGGGGAATACCACAGTAAGAGGAAAACATGCTGCTCCTACAGGGTAGTTACAGTGGAAGAAAAGGCTTACTCCAGGGGCAGGTAGATTTTAATTTGTTCCTTTCTTTTTAAGAGGCTTCCACTGTAGGTGAAATTTCCTTGTACTGAAGGGGGGTGGTTAAGATTCTCACTGATATTTACTTCTTGTGACGTGGCTGTACAGGAGTGCAATAGCCTGAGTAGCAACAGAAGAGTCTCTGGTGCAGAGAAATGAACTTGGAAAGAGTGTGAATTTACAGTCGCCCAGGGGCTCCACCACCACAGCAATGTAATGGAGGGGCCAGGGCTGCATCTACAGATTAAAGTCTAGACTAGGAACTTTCTCTCAGGCTGTTGGCAAGCCAACCCATCACTTGCAGGAGGACCATGTCTTTCTCAAGACACCTAGTTGGTGAAAAACTGCATGTGAAGCTGGAAAAATGGTCAAGGAAAGATTTGTAGTGGTTTTACACACATGCAAAAGAACCCCAAAAACAAAACCAAAAAGGACTAGAAGAGACTTCCAGTGGTTTAGCCTCCTCTACTGATGACAGCTGCTGTTTGTGCTTTTCCTCTTGGTTTTCTTCTGTGTCCTTTTTAAGTGGCAGGAAAGAGTTACATATTATTGTTAGATAACTAAGGTGGGTTTCACTTTAAGTGGATGCTTTTTATGACTTTTAATTTTAGACAAGGAATAAGCAATACAAGAATACCTTCTTAGAGCTTTGGGAGTAGAAATCCTTGTGGCATTATGGGATGAGCAGCAACAAAACTGGGTACTTTACCCACTGTTTAAGAAGTACAAGAATGTTGTGATCAGGTTATAGGTTACTCTGGAGAAGGGAGAACATTTTTTGTTCTATTTTTGGTTTTGTCCTAACAAAGGAGAAAACCTTCCAAGCCTTTTTCCTCATTCAGGTTCGGTCAGAGAAAAGGGAGAGAGTTTAATCCAATGTGGAAACAGTGTTCTAATACTGAAAGATTAATTCCTGAAAATCTAGGCCTTACAGGAAAGGTTTAGTTGCGTTAATCACTTTATCCCAAGTATATCATATGGCAATAATCTCTCTTCTCACTTCTTAGCATTACTTCTGTGTAACAGGGGTGGATCTCTCGGATGGGTCAAATTGCATAACCTTTTTGTCTCAAGATTCGCTTTTTGGAAGCTGTCCTGAAAACAGTTTTCTGTGTGACTGTATTCTAAACAATTACACATGGAAGATGGATCAAGGACACCCACATAGACATAATATTAAATGCATGCAAAACTTAAGAGAAACAGGTGGTTATGATTATCATAGAATCACAGAACAGTCTGGGTTGGAAGGGACCTTTAATGGTTCAAACCTCCTGCAATGAGCAGGGACATCTTCAACTAGATCAACTTGCTCAAAGCCCCATCCAACCCAGCCTTGAATGTTTCCAGGGATAGGGCATCTACCACCTCCTTAGTGTTTCACCATCCTCATTGTAAAAACTTTCTTTGTTATATCTGTTCTGAGCCTACCCTCTTTTAGTTTCAAACCATAACCCCTTGTCCTACTGCAGCAGGCCGTGCTAAAAAGTTTGTCCCAATCTTTCTTGTAAGCCTCCTTTAAGTACTGAAAGTCCTCAATGAAGTCTTCATGGAGCTTTTTTGTTTCCAGGCTGAACAACCCCAGCTTTCAGCCTTTCCTCAAGGACAGGTGCTCCAGCCCTATGAGGATTTTTGTGGCCCTTCTCTGGACCCTCTCCAACAGGTCCATGTCTTTCCTGTGCTGGGGCTCTAGAGATGGATGCAGTAATCCAGGTGAGGTCTCACCAGAGCAGAGGGGCAGAATCACCTCCCTCCACCTGCTGGCCATGCTTCTTGTGATGCAGCTCAGGATAGTTGGCTTTCTGGGCTGTGAGTGAACACTGCCGGCTCATATCCAGGCTTTCATCCACCAGAATTCCCAAGTATTTTTTGTCAGGGCTGCTCTCAATCGATTTATCTCCCAGCCTGTATTGAAACTGGAATTTACCCTGATCCTTGCACTTGGCTTTATTGAACCTCATGAGGCTCACATCAGCCCACTCCTTGAGCTTGTCCAGGTCCCTCTGGATGGCATCCTGTCCCTCAGACATGTCACTCAGGTTGGTATTGTCTGCAAATTTGCTGAGGGTGCTCTCAATCCCACTGACAGTGTCACTAAGGAAGATATTAAAGAGTACGTCTCCCAGGGCAGACCCCTGAGGGACACCACTTGTCACCGATCTCCATCTGGACATTGAGCAGTTGACCACCCTCTGGATGTGACCATCCAGCCAATTCCTCATCCACCAAGCAGTCCACCCATCAAATTGGTATCTTTCCAATTAAGAGAGATGGATGTTGTGGAGGAGCACGCCAGAGGCCTTACAGAAGTTCAGATGCATGATATCTGTAGCTCTTTCCTTATTGACTGGTGTAATTACTCCATCATAGAAGGCCATCGGGTTGGTCAAGCAGGACTTGCCCTTGGTGAAGCCATGCTCAAATCACCTCCCTGTCCTCCATGTGCCTTAGCATAGCTTCTAAGGTGACCCGTTCCATGATCTTCTGAGGCATACTAGGACATCAGATTAACTATGCCAGACCATCAGACTGAGCTCTTTGTCTAGGATTCACTTTTGCCCATACTAAAGTCTGGGATTTTTTTTGCATCTCAGGATGCAAGGGCTGTTGCCTTTCTCAGCAGCCTCTTACCTTCCTCTTCTTGCCACTCAAAAATTTCACCTGCACCCTGTCTGTGCTGGGAACCTCCCTCAGCTCACATCCCAACTCTGAGGCCTTCCCAACATTCTCCTTGGTTTGTGAAGACTCCAGGCTGGTGCCACCTTCTCAGGTGTGCCATGTGGGAGGACCTCCCCTGGTCATACCCGGATCCATGGCTCTCATACACAGAAGCATTTTGAGGCAGGACTGCAGAAATTCAGGGCGGGGTGTGGTTTTCTGTGCTTCATGCCGTGGCAGTATGTAGAGAAGCAAGCATGGCAGGAAGCAGGGGAGAAGCAGCCAGAAAACAGACAATAAACGTTGCTTGAAACAAACTGATAACTCTATTTTTACCACATCCTGCTGCGAGAAAATGAGCGCTGAAAGTGATTATTGAGGAAAAAAGGCGAAATAACGCCTAGAAGACAGAAGGGGGACGGTCCTTCTGCGCCCAAGCTAACGGCTCCAGCGGCTCTTTCCTCCACCCAGCCCGATTAATTAGTTTTCGCTGGCCAGACGAATGAAACGCTGGCATCGAAAATCCATCCTCTCTCTGTGCCAGGGTGCGACAGCTTTGCAGTTGGCGGGGTGCTCCAGGATTGTGAATGTAGCTGAGAACAGCGCTGCTGCCAGGCACTGTCACCCCCGAGACCCGCTCCCGAGGCGCCGGCCGTGCTCCCCGTGGAGAGCCCTGGAAGACCAACGGGCGGTGGTAGCACGCCGGTGATCCGGCCCCGAATCCCGTACCGCAGCGTGCTCCGGCAGCCGCGGGCCGCGCAGCAGCAGGCGCGGCTCTGTCCCTGCCTCGCCTCGGGGCCCTCCGGGGAGCGGGACCGGAGAGGAGCGGGCCAGGGCCGGCGCCGGCCGCGAGTCCCCGCCTGACCCCGCGGCAGGCGTCGCTCGCCGCTGACCGGGGAGGCGCTGGTCGGCGGGGCCCGGCTGCGACACCCACAGCGACACCGACCCCCTCACACACCGGCAGCGGCCCCGCCTGCGCTGCGGGTGGGGCGAGGGGAGCCTCGGAGAGCGGGAGCCGCCAGCACCGGGGCTGCGGCGGGAGGAGCGCGGCTGACGCGGCAGAGCGAGGGCAGGGGAGGCAGGAGGAAGAGGCCCGACGGACGAACGGGCGGCGGGACGTACGGACAGGCACCCCTCGGGCAGGCCCGGCCCGGCCCGGCCGGCGGGAGGGAGGTGGGCAGGTACGCGGGGCCCGGCGACGCAGGTGCCGTCGGCCGCTCGCAGACGGCAGGCGGTAAAGGGGGCGCCCGGGGCCACGGAGGGTACCCTCTCCCGGCGGCAGGGCGGGACGGGACACGGGCCCGTTTGGCTCCCTTGTGCCCCCGATTGCTTCTGTGGAGTGCGGTCAGCGTGGTGCTCCCTAGCCCTCTGCGGGGGCGAACGGACACCCGGGCAGGGATCGGGACTGCTCACGCAGAACACTGATCATGTAGGGGGACGGCTCCAGTTGCAGGGATCCGGTCCCGGACTGGGGGCAGAGTGCTCACAGATGGATAAACAAACACGGAGAAACTTGAGCTTTTCTCCTCAGCTGGTAGAGACTTAGATACTCTATTTTTTATGCAAAGAAGTTGCAAAGTCATTCCGCATTTCGTATTCTCCTCTTTTTTTTTCCCTATCCCTCCCTTCTCCAGCGGTGTTACTTGCTCCTGCTAGTACTCTCGCCTTGGTGTTTTTCTGCATTACTCTGTGTGTGTGGTTATATGTACTACGCTTCATTTTTGCACGGCTGGCTGGGTGTGGGAGGGTTTGATTTCTGGGCTGCAGCTACAGACACCACCAAACTCCAGTTAACACTGCTTAATTCCGTATGGACAGTAACGCTCAGCTGGAAGCAGGCGGTTAAGAGGTAAGGGATGGCGTGGCATTGAACTCAGAGCAGATGAAGGTGCCCTTTTGCAGAGAGCCCCTTCCCCATGCCCTAGAAGGATGGGGATACTCTGGTTCCCTTTGCTTTGTATTTCGCAGAGAAAAAGCAGTTAAGACAGTTCAGGTCTGCAGTCTCTCTAGTTGTGTCTGTGCCAGAGGCAAGAGCTGGAACTGCCTCTTTACCTCTTTAGACGTCTTCAATGAGAGAAGGTTGGAGGCAGGGAGAAAATGAACATTTTCTCCTCCCATGCAGAAGGAGTTGCAAAGTACCGGTGCTTTGTGCACAGAGCTTCTGCAGGGAGTTAACACATTAGGCAGAAATTCTTTACTGTGATGGTGGTGAGACACTGGCACAGGTTGTCCAGAGAAGCTGTGGCTGCCCCATTGCTGGCAGTGTTCAAGGCCAGGCTGGATGGTACTTAGACCTACCTGCTCTAGTGGAAGGTGTCCCTGGATGAGCTTTAGGGTCCCTTCCAACACAAAACATTCTATGATCCTGTGATTCTGTGAAGGTAAAAACCTGTCACAGACTTGGAGGATTTGCATTAGGGGAGAACTAGTGGAGCTTGACAGGGTATCCCAAAACACCCACCTGCCTGACTTTGTATTTGCAGGATGTCTTTGGCTTAGTTCTTTCATGAGCGTTGGTCATTGCCCCTTGGCTTCCCCTTACTGAGACTTACGTGCTCCTGTAGAGCTGGATTTGGTTTGTTATTGATTTTTTTTTTTTGTCTGAATAGTGCCAGGCTCTTCCCCTTAATTTTGGGGAGTGTATGAAGAGCAGGAATATGCATGAGTTAGCTGCAAAAAGCAGCCTGTGATCTCTCTATTTGTAGTAAGTGCTACTGCTTCTTTGTTACATGCTCTTAGTGTTGAAATAGCATTGACATTTATAATGGACACTCAAATGCTGACATCCCTTGCATTTAATTTCTTTCATGCTAATCTAATAAATTCAATATGTATTGTTATCTTAAAAGAGGATTAAACATTTCCTGAGGGGAGGGTGAGTTACGCAAACTGGTGTATACATGGGCTGCATCTCAAGTGCTGCGAGACCTGGAATTCACGGGTTATGTTGTTCCGAGGGTATCTTCATTTGATAATCAGAAACTGATAGGAGTTGTTGCTTTTTTTTTACTATTGCTGCCTGCATTTTCATCCTCTAAGAACAGGTATCTTTCTAAGAAGCATGACAAAGCTGCTTATCCAAGACTTACTGAGCAGAGGCCTTCAGAGGACCTATGGGGAACGTAAGTTGGGTGGGTCCCGGCCCACTCTGCTTACGAAATAATGTATTGCAAGGAGCAAGTAGTTCAAGTTTTAAGATGTGGGCACTTTAAAACTACTACTCTGTTAATTTTTTTGACTTGTTTAAAGTGAATCCACAAGTAGGTGGATAATTTGACTGTAATGGCATGTGTTTAAAATAGTGATTGCTGGGTTTTAATATGCAGAATTGTTTCAGCCTAGCTAGCTGGAATAGCTGCAAGCCTCTGAAGCTGACTTGACCCAGCAACAAGATATTTAAATAGGGTATGCTGAGAGACAAAAATAAAGTATATAAAATAAAATGCATAGGTATTAGCAAATAAAAACAGATGCAAAGCAACTCTTGTCTCCTCTGGGATCTAGGATTTATGATGGAAATAATCTGTCATTTTATAATGCTATGCGTGCTAATTGCAGGTTCACGTTAATCATCAGTGTGTAAGAGGGTATGTCAAATCCTATTTTCCATCCCATCCATACAAGATAAGCTCCTAATAAGCTGTGATCCTTCAGCCACATCCACACATGAGCTCTCTCCTGAGTTATCCTGCCTATATCCCACGTAATTTTCCAGATGGTTTCAGTTTTATGATTTGCATGCAAGGACTAGGGCAGTTTTGTCCCATGGCTGCAGGCCATTTTATACAAAAATGCCCTTCATTTCTGCGTGTAAATTGAGATCAGCCTATACATATTTGTACTTGTAAATGAATATTTGGTTTTGGCTCTCTAATTTGTCACTTGGAAAAATGCTATTTTTAAGGAGTGGGTATTTTCCCAAAGAAAGGTCAATATTGATTGGTTTTGTGACTTCATTTCTGGTCATTCCTAAATCATCGAAGACTTACATTGCTGTGAATTAGTTTTTACTGTAGACCAAAGGAATAGAAACTAGAGAAAGTAATCTATGTATTTATATAAACTGAGCTGTAGTAAAGCAATATGTTGTTTTTACTTCAAGTTAGCACTTGGAGTGTTTATATTGAAGGATTTATTTTGTTCCAGTTTGAGTAGTATGCATATGTTAAAATAACCTGCAAAGCAAACACACTTTCCAAAGTAGAGCTGAAGGCCTTCAACATACTGTGAGAACATTCTAATATGTGTTAATCAAGTTCTTGCTTGAATTCCTGACTCTAAAGCAAAATTAATTCCCTCCCCCCAGGTCTTCCAAACCACCTAACACAGTCTCTGCCTGGCTCTGGAAGTGTCTTAAACACACTGGATCTCCCTCTTTAAGCAGAAAGTTCTTAAGCGCCTTATCTAGAGCTGCTGCAGTCGAGGATCAAAGCCCTTAGGAGATGGAGAAACTAGGGCACCTGGCAAGCATGCTGTAAACACACACGGCTGTGTCTCCAGATGCAGCTGTATAGGATTTGATTTTGAAACACTGCCAGGAGAGGAGCCAGTGTTCACTTTCCTGGAGAGCTGGTGGTGGTGGGGCTTGTCTATAGACTGTGTTCTAGTAGTTGAAACCTGGGCTGCTGGTCCCTGTGCCCAAGGGGTTAAAGCCCAGATCTGCCCCCACCTCTGCAGCTGTTGCATAGGCTGAAGTAAGTAACTGGGAAGACATGCTTTTCCCCTTGGGTTTACCCTGGGCCATCTCATGGAGGATGCAGCAGGTTGCCTGAAGCTGACATGAAGAAGCACCAGAACCTGACTCTTGCATGAGTTTGTGTGCTCCCCTGGGAGGAGGGCTGGGATCTAGTGCTTGGTGCTGCTGCTGAGAGTGCTACCAAAGGTGAGAATTCCCATGTTTTGAGAGAGGAGCAACATTTGGCTGGCTGCTCCAGGAGAAAACTGTGCCCAAGAGAAGAATGGGCTCTGAAATCTGGAGTAGGTGGTAACAGCTGTTGGTAGTCCTGGCTTAGGAGTTCAAGCTCTGAAAGTGAAGTGGGGCAGAATATCCAGTGTTTCCTACCAGAAAGCCCCATTTCCAGTGCAGGAATCTCCATCCTTAGCACCTCTCACAATGTATTTGTGTGGCAGCAGGTGCCAGCCTGGGAGCTTTGTGTCATGCAAGGTTTTTAGGTGGTGGTGTAACCGATCCGTACCCCACATCTGGATGTTAGTGACCTGGCCTGTAACTCCATTCCCTCACCCACATCTGTGTTGAGAGTCTGCCTCCCTAGCCTTTAGGGAAGGAAGAAATAAGGTTGTATCTTCACGTGATCTTTGCACTTGGTCTCTCAGACATCCTCTAGGCATCATCTGACTAGAAGGAGCTTCCTTATTCCCTCATATTTGAAATGCTTTGCAACTACAGTGTTTCTTTGTTTTAGGGCAGGAAAGCACCTGGTTGGAGGGCGGAATGTGGACAGGCAAGATTGGAATCTAAATTTATTTCAAAACTCCTTTATTCAAAAAGATATCACATCTTATTTCTTGGCAGTCTTGTTTAAACTCTGGGGGTGACTGGCAAGCTGCTCATGCTGAGTTCCTTGCCAAGTACTATTGCAAAACACTGCCACTGCAGAAGTTGTGTAACTTTACAGACCGTTATGTTTCTCTTGGAGTAAACCAAAGGGGCATCAAGTTCTGCTCCTTTGCCCCTGCTGAAAAGCAAGACTGACATGTTTCCATTTGCTTATGAGGCACCAGCATGCTGCTTTCCTGATGCCACCTCTTCCAGTTGCTGCAGCCAATTTTCCTGCAACGGGACTTCATCTCTTGTTCACTGCTGTGAAAAAACTGAGGAAACAGAACTATATAAAAGTTTTTATTGTATTGTTAACTGCAAAATACTTTGGAACAGACACCAGACCAAGGAATGCTTTTCCTCTCATTCTGGACTCAATGTTGCTAGTGTGGCAGGTGCATCAGAATAGATTTGCAGTGTCTCATGGAGTTATACTTCATATTTGAGTCCTTAATGAACATCTCTGGAATTGAAATCACTCCCAAGCATTTCTATTTGTCAGTATAATACAGGATGCTAAATCTGATACCTAAATATATGCAAACTGTGTGCCAATTTTTGAGATCTTGTAACTTTGCTGTTAAAATAAGGCACTGGTTGGAAACAGTTCTAATTTTTCAG